AGGGGCTGTTTGTGAACAAAGGCCTGGGGGCAACTGAGAGGCTGCTTGTGAGGCAGGTTGGTAGCAAGGGGAGAAGCCTGGGGTGTTTAGGGGAGCCTAGGGTTTTTTGAAGGGGTTCTGCAAACACTTGAGTGGAGGTCTTGAGGTATCTTGGAAGAGGGAGGTTGGCTTGGGGGTGGTAGGTGAGGAAGCACAAGACCTGGGATGAGATAGGAAATGTGTGTAGGGGCAGGAGAGGGGGTAGAGTGGGGTTGCTGAGGGAGATGGGGCAAAGGAGGGGGGTATAGGGGAATCTCCTAGGAATGGGGCAGAGAGGAAAGCCAGGCTAGAGGCGTGCTGGGCCCAGGAAGTTTGTGGAGGGAGGAGGTGTGAATAACTGTGGCAGGACTGTATGTTCCTGTCCCAGGAGGTGAGGCCTGCCGTGACCCTTGTCTGTGGGCGTTGGGCAGGAGTAAGCCCTTGTTAGGAATCTGAGTTTACTTCTGCATCACCTGTGACACATGCCGTTCCTATCACCCTTCCTCTGCTCTCAGCCCTTGTAAGAGCAGTATGATTGCACAGGGAGGAAATGTTTGAGTTTGACAAGCGCATGTGGTGGGAGTGGAAGTCAGCAGGTGATGTGGGACTTTGGGAAACGGCGTGAGGGAGAAGCACTGCGTCTCACTGAATGCTTCCTGTTGTTGTAGGAGTGCCGGATTGCACATCCCATTGTTAAATGCACTTACTGCAGGACTGAATTCCAACAGGAAAGGTAAATGCCTGCTGAATTGGGAAGACTGAGGTTTTCTTTAGAACAGATGCACCTGGGGAGCTATAACGATCCCACACCTTTGATGTCTGAGCCTTAACCTGTAGATTGTTGCTGTGGGAGACTTGGGAGACCTTTGGCCTCCTTCAGAAGTCTGCTGGGAGAGTTGGTGTGCCTGTGCGGCATCCTTAGATTTGCACCTTTCGCTTGGCTCTCATTTCTGGTCAGGGCTCAGTTGCATTTTCCAGGGAAGGATCCAGAGGCATCTTCCCAGGAGTTTTCTCTTATTTGATTTCTGGTATCCAAACTTATTTTCTAACACGTTTTCCTTTGCTGTGTGTCTGCCTTTTTGCGAGTTATATAACTTACAGAGGAAGGGTTGGTAAGCCCCGGAGCTGATGAGCATAATGTGTGCAGGCATTGTGTGAGGTGTTCTTTCCTGTGTTTGTTGGACAAATATACCTCTGTTCTGACCTGCCCTTAGTTTGCAATCCAGAGCAGGCTTCCTCCAGAACTGAGGTTGCCACTAGTGCCGAATCATGTCTACTGCCAATTAGCCAGTGATCACACTCCTGTATTTGTAAAGACAAAAAACTGGTGTCATCTGGGGACACCTTAATTAAAAGATACCTCCTAGTAATACCATTTCTTGGCAAATTATCCTTGACCAGATGGGGACAGGAAATATACTTTGTTACCAGAGTCCCTTGTGAAGATGAATATGGCCTTGCCACTAGAGATGAAGCCTAGGGGAGACTGGGATCCTAACCATAGAGATTTAATTTTCTTTGGGGAAGTGTTAATAGAATGATCTATCCTTCTTCTTAACAGCAAGACCAACACAATCTGCAAGAAGTGTGCTCAGAATGTGAAGCTCTATGGAACAGTAAGTGAGCAGGGCTCATTCTCACCAACCTCTTTTCTTTTAATCCCTCTTGTCTTTATTCTATTGAAGCCCAGAGCAGTTTATGCGCTGGCTTTGTTGTAATAGCATGACTGATCAATAATATGCAGCTCCCTCAAGCGTTAAGCTTTACTGTTTAATTTTTTTTAGTACAGAACAGAGCAGCTCTGCATCATTTTAGGCCAGGAAATGAACTATTCAATATCCAATAGAAACAAGAACATGATTACATAAAGTGAGATTGCCACAGGAAGCAGTGATAAATCTTTCTTCCTGCTTGTCTGAAAGCTGAAGCAGAGATTTTGATTGTTTCTCTTTTGATGATATATATTTTCTGAAGATTTCATAGTACTTCTTATTATACATTGTCCAGGTGTCACGGCTAAATACGCTTAGCTAGAGACTGGGGATCCAAATTACTTTTGTCTCCTGGATCAGCATTACAGTTAGCTTTGTCCAGGGAAATAAAGGTTTTGAAGTGATGGAGAGAAGAGGAAAGAACAGTGTATTAATGTAATTAGAAGACACTGCTATATCATTTGTTCTTGTTTTTTAAAGCCAAAACCCTGCCAGTACTGCAACATAATAGCAGCATTTATTGGAAACAAGTGTCAGCGTTGCACAAACTCTGAAAAGAAGTACGGACCTCCACACTCCTGTGAGCAGTGCAAGCAGCAGTGTGCGTTTGACCGGAAGGATGATAGGAAGAAGGTCGGTACCTTTGTAAAGGGGTCTGAAAGGGTTAAAAAAACTGATCACAGTGACTGTATGTCTGTCTGTCTTCACACAGTCTCTAGCGTTTCAGAAGAGGGTGTCTCTTGATTGTAAAATGGTTTTCTGGAGTTGAGCTTTGCTGTGGGAGCTGTATGTTGGAGCTGTTTAATCTTTGAGCCCCTCTGCTCCTTGGCCTGCTCTGTTGATGAAAGGTCTCTTGAATTTGGCCTAAGAGTGGGTGGGATGGCGAATGAAAAGGGACCTTTTTGTGAAATGAAAAGTACCTGCTGGGTGAAAGGGATGGAAAACGATACTTATGCTGTAGCCTGAGGTGCTGAAAGTCTCCTCCGTCCCCCACCTCAACTAAGAAACCCATTCCATGGCTTCTGTGCCTCCTTTACTTGAAACAATGTAAGGATTTGTATATTTATAAGGCCTGCTTTTTGCAGGTTGTAAACATCTATTGTTCATTTAGGTTGCTGCCTTGATAGGCGCTGTCCTCCTGCTGATCTTCCTTGAGCACAGAGCCTGGTTGTTTTGGTCTCCAGGGAATACTCTTTCATGTACAATTACCCGACTTGGCTTTGACAGAAATCCCACTGGGAGTTAGCCTGTCCTGGAGATTAGGTGATATAAGAGAGTCAAAAAGCAAAGCTTGGAGGAGACTGTAGATGTAATAAGTTAGCTGCTATTAATAATTATTGCCTGCATTGCACCAGCCATGTCAAATGTACTTCTTATCCTTTCCAGGCACTTGAAACCTGAAGGTTGAAAACTTGAAAACCTGAAGGTGCTCCATGTCTTTTCTGTGCCTGGGTTGTGGACAGGAAACGAGATGCAATTCTCCCTCCAACTCTCTTGTCTTCCAGGTGGATGGAAAGCTGCTATGCTGGTTATGCACACTGTCCTATAAACGGGTCCTACAGAAGACCAAAGAGCAGTGCAAACATCTGAGCAGCTCTTCCCGGGCAAGCCTGCAAGAGAAGGAACAATACAGTAGGCTCAGCAGTGGCAGCCATTACAACAGGTAACCTGCATTAGCTTCTTAGCAATCCCTTCTGTTGTGCAGGGCTTGCCTCTGGGGTGAACAAACAGGATGCCTGACTGCTGCACGCTCCTTAGATGCACCTCTGAAGTAACTGGGAGATGCGTCTCGGGCCTCAGTACCGTGGCACAGTGATGGGTTTTGGCAATTGTCTGTTCAAGAGAATTTGGCTAAATCAGCCTTTGGTAGTATGCAAGCCCCGCTGCTCTGGCTTAGGCTTGTAGTCTGACAGTGGTTTGCAGTGATTTGACTTACTGAACTTTCTTGTATGCAATTAAAGCTAAACTGCATTTGTAAAATTTGATGATTGGAATGCAGCTTTTAAGCGTAAGTTCTTCAGCTGCCTACTGATCTGACTGACACGTTGCTTTCTGTTTATTTTTAGTCTCTAGCGAAAGGAGAATTGAAGCTTAAAGGAATGAATTTTTTATCATTCTTTCTTGTGCTAGGAAATCTTGTTTTAATAGGCTAGAAGTGGGTAGGAGTGTTTATCTGTTGCCCTGTCTTAGACTGCAAGTCATTCAAGATCTGACACTCAATTTCCTTGTTTCTCTAGCCAGAAAACCTTATCCACCTCTTCTATTCAGAATGAAATCCCAAAGAAGAAACCCAAGTTTGATGCCATATCTGCCAATGGTGACAGGTGAGCCTGTTACATGGGGAAATTGTGGATGGGTGGTCTTGTTTGCTTAGTTTATATAACAGAGTTCTGTGCAAATAGCAGGAAGACCTTATGCTAGAGCAGCAATCTTAGGCTTTGGGACCTCAAGGGGTTGCATTAGTAGCTTTCCAGGACCTGGCAGGCCAATGTTACTTGGCATTTAGACGTAGCTTTGAGGAAGAGAAGAATACCTGATATCTGAACCTGCTAGAATAGAAATTGCTTGTTGTCTGAGCTTACTAACAGTTGCAGAATCTGCAGCGAGATCAGCTTTATCCTCTCCCTGCCGTTACAAGGAAAGGTGGGTGTTGGCTGCACTGTAGAGTTGAGGTCTGCAGTGTTTGTGCTTCTGGGCTATTAGACTGATCTGCAGGGAAGACAGCCTTAGAGAATAGGATCAAGACCCACCTCTTATTTCCCCTCCTGCCTTTTGGGGGAGGGACAAGCAATCAAGCAGCTTTGCTTGAAAGCAGCCAATCCCATTCTGCTGTCACAGTGCCTGCTGGGTTATGTTGATGCTGGCTGCATGTGCAGCAGAATGGGAGTCACTAGCAGAAACAGGAGAGTGAGATGTTTTTTTTTTTTATTATTATTTTTTACGCTCTTGTACATGCATATTTTCATTCCTCCCTTTCCTCTCTGATTCTCAGCGTTCCTTCCTCTCCCGAGATGCTTTGTCCCCCTATCCAGAGTGCCCCGTCCACGTTGGCGCAGTGGGCTGCTTCCCAACAGAGTCTCGGTGCCCACCATTGTCCTGTTTCTCAAGGCACTGACATCCTGAAGTGAGATCACCTATTGTTTTCTCCCCTGTTGCCCTCCCTCCCTGGGAATTGCCTCATATATGGAAAGTGTCCCTATCGATGGATCTCCTTCCAAACAGCAGTGAATTGGGAGCATGGACCAGAGCGTAGGCTCATTAGTGCCGAAGGGGCTGTTAAAGTTACTGGTAATGAATTGTTCGCTATCTGCCTTGAATGTCTTTTGTTTAAGATCAGAGATAACATTGACCCTATAGGTACAATTGACCTCTTGTTTGTGGTTGTTAATATAAGAAATGCTACAATGTGAAATAGAACTTAAATAATCTTGTAGGGCAGTGATTCCTGCACAGTGGTCTACAAGACTTTTATCATCTGAATGGTGTTTTTGATTGCAAATTGGAACAATTTAAGGGTTAACTGTGGTTTGGGAACCGCAGCTGAGCCTGGAGCGGTCAGAGAATTCTCCTGATTGCCTTTTAACACTGGTAGAGCGACAGGAGAGACTGGAGACAAGTGTCTGGTAGAACTGGTGCAGCCCATCTGTATTGCTGCAGCTTTCCCGTTAGAGTCCTGTTAAGGCTCCCGCTTACCTGCTGCGGTTACTGTCCAGGCTATAGGACAGTATCAGGTATTTTTATCTGCTCGCTGCAGCCTGGGCTGAGGCCTAAGAACTCATTTTAATACCCCTGCTGGCTTGAAAATAATCAAGAAGCAAAAGGTCCCGTGCTCTGGTATCAATTGCTCAGCCGTTTGTTTGCAAAACAGGAGCATGCACTGGGTGAAACAAATGCCTTCATTTCTCTTTGCTCTTGTATCAGATGTTGTCAGGCTGGCTTCTGCCAAGGTTTTAGGCTATGGTCCTTGCCACAGACTTTTTTGATAAAACCCAGTAACAAACTGTGTGTAATTTTAGCAACTACTGAAGAGCTCCAGCACCATGCTGTAGAAGATATAAGCTGCAGATGCTTTAAATAGACACAGGGCTGCATTTCTTGGGCAGAATGAATGGTGGTTCATTAAGTCTGTTTTGGGGGTTACTGGGTTTTTTGTGAGGGTGACTCCCAAAGTAAACCTCTCCTTTTGCACTGTGTTGGTATAAGATTGTATACTGTATACTGAGTGGGGAGCAGCTGCAGTGCAGGGCTTGTTTTCATCAGCAGTGTGCTCTGGAGTGGGGTGTTACACAACTCGCACCTCTTCGCTGCTGAGAGCAGCTACAACTTTCTGGAGAGTGCATCTTGGCCGCAGGCTCCAGACAAATTTCTAGTGCAGCCTTTAGGTGGGCAAAATCTGAGCATACCTGAGCTCAGTTAACTCTGGTAATGCCCTCAACAGGGTCCAACTTATCTGGAATCTTTGTCTCCTTTGTCTTGTGGGTGCAGCAGAAAGTCCTTCGCTTCCTCACTGAACTCCTCTTGAGCTCAGTATGTTTTTGTGTTTTCATATTTCTGAGTGGATGATGCTCTTGCAATGCTCGCTATTTGGAGATTGAGCAAATGACAACGGGTCGTGTTTGCATGGTTCATTCTGGGTGAGTCCTGCTGCAAGGAGCTAACAGCACTGTCCATGCAGCACACGGAGTAGCTCACTTTCCTTAGCAGCGACTCTTGGCGCCAGCCTGCAACAGACCTTGTCTTACTCATGCTATTGTTCTGCCAGTGCCCTTCAGTCCCAGGCTGCTTCTGTGTGCATGAGAGCCCTGGCTTCACCCGCAGCCTCTGTGGCTGTTCTGGTCTTAGGACTCCTCACCTGATTGTGCCAGAGCTTGCTGTCCTCATCCTCATGTGCAAATGCTGCCAAAAGTGTGTTCATGTTACAGGTCAGCCACCTTGGCCTCTGTGGGCAAACACACTACAGGCAGTGAGGAGCGCTTCTGACCGAGCTGCCTGGGGGAGTGCAGTAATGCCAGAGGATGCCGAGCAGCAAAGTTTATTTTGTAAAAATGCTCTAATTTGTATAGAAAAATCCTGGCTTATACTTAAAGCATTAGGGCTTGGAGTGAACCTCTTCTGCTTTTGATATCCTTAGAGGATATATAAGTTCAGCTGCTGATTCGTATTGGTCTGGATGAAATTTTGTGCATGGAGGATATTTTTGTCTTAGGTGAAATTTGAATGCTGTTTCAGTCAGCCTGGTCTGTGCCCCTTTACACCAGCCTCACTTGAATAGCAGAATCTTTAAGCACGGCATTTATCTTGCCTAATTTCAGCCATTTAACAGGTGTTGAGTTTAAGGCAATCATTTTGGTTTTTCTGCTCAGTAGAGAGGCAGGTGTCTTTGGAAGAGCTCCATTTTTTTCCCCTCTGTCCCCATTGAAAGCAACGGGAGCCTCGTCAATTCACTTTAATTAGAGGCATGAATTTTAGCCTGTTCAGACGTGGAGAGCGTGTCCCTCTGACCTCTCTCATGGGGGCTGGAATCCTTAGGATGGAATTTATTTGTAGGGGGGGGAAGGGCTTTTGTTTATTTTCAATCCATTTGTTAAAGGAATGGAGTGACTTGCATTTGGCAGTTTTCCTTCTGATTTTGGAGCCCCGGGCTCACTCCTTAATGTGAGATTAAAGACAGAAACCTTTCATTATTGACTTTTCACACTTTCAGAGAAGGGGTGGGGAGGGGGGAAGCGCCTTCCTTTAATTTGCCCCTTGACATGTTTGAGGGTGCATTTTGCAGCAGTTGGACAGCAAAATACCTGCTTGAATGCACGTACTTGACAGGAGGATGCTAGCACTCTGAGCCAGCCAAACTGCTCCTATACCTGCATACCCTAGAGGTAGGATGAGGTCCCTGAAAACCTCAGGTAGGGCACCCGAGCTTGCCTGCGGCCACTGAGAGTGCAAGAGCTTCTCTGTGAAGTGCTCTTGGCCTGCGTGTCCCTTCTGCTCCCCGCTGGGTGGCAGAGCTGGCTCTCACCTCTCCTGGTCCATGGAGGGCTCTGGAACGGGAGTTGCCAAGGAGGGAATTTTTCCTGCCTGAGCTACTCAGGGAAATGTGAGCATCTCCTGGCAGTCTTTATCACCGCAGGATGCAGCAGGAGGAGAGCTTGTCTGGGCAAAGAAACAGCATAAGCAAGGGTTTCTTTTTAGCCAGAAGGATTCAGTGAGGAAGCCTTTCTTGTTTTTCTGTGGAGGCTGTTTTTCATTTTGTATTTTATTTCTTTTCTCCCCAGCATATTTGCACTGAGTGGGAAATGAACGCTACCGTTAATAGCACAGAAATAACACAGAAAGGTGCTGGAGCATCTACCATCACCACTGTGCTACAGAGCCTCTACTTTGGGGGAATTGTGCTCAGGAGCAGTTTTTAAAATGGAGGTATTCTTCTCTAGTGTGCATACATGAGCCTCTTCTGCATTTGAGAGCTACGCTGTGTGACAAGCACAGCGTTAGATCAGGTGCACCTGGAGACCTGCCACATCTTACAGTGTGGGCTTTGCTGTCAGTGAGCTCCGGCTGCAGGAGACAATAGATCCAGTCTGCAATGAGTGCCTGTCAGTTGTGCTTTAACTGTGCAAGGCTCTTCCCCTGCAGACAGCGTCCTACAGACCCTCGGTTTTGAGTTTAGCTTTGCTGATGAGGTCAGACTTTCTCTTTCAGTGCCATGGGGCTGTCGTGCGACTCTCAGATCTGCAAAGCTGCCCCTGCTTAGTTTCTCTCTGTAGATTCCCAGTAATGTTCCCAGCACAAGGGTGGGAAGAGCCTTTTCTCCTGTCAGCTCCTTGCTAACGAATCCAATCAATGCAGACTGTGCTTTTAATTAGAAAATGGATTATTTCCAGGCACTAGAGGAAACCGCTGTGAGGTGAGTAGCCAGTACTGTCTTGTTTTTACACATAGGGAAATAGACGCACAGAGATGGCAGCATACTTGAGAGAGGCAGCGGAGGGGGCAAGCAGTGTTTGAGTTCAGCACATGCCTTCCCCAGTCCACTGCATCTCCCAGCTTTAGAGCTGAATGCAGGCTCTAAGACATAGGTTGGCCTGCTCTGGAGGCTTTCAAAAAATGTCAGGCTTCAGGTAACCTTGCCTGTTTATCTTTATAGCAGCAATGCTGTCTGATAATGGCCAGATTTCAAGTAGTCTTTTAGGTGAAGGTTTGTTGTCTTTATTATTACTGTTAAATTTGTATACACCAGTATTAGATGTGTGTTGCTGGGAGTGTGCTGCCCCTTTAGCACTGAAAGATAGGCTTGTCATTGACAGTGGTAAGGGACAGAAGACAGGGAAAGATCAGGTGAGCTCCCTGGGCCTGTGGCTGCAGCTTATCCTGTCTGATGATTTGAAGTACTCCTGTAAGCAGAAGACTGTGGATGGCTGCCTGGAACACTGGACAACTTACAGGGGGATTTGTGAATTACTCACTCAGGAGGTGTCTCATGTCCAGAGAAGTTCTCAGCTGATCGCTTAGGTTTAGAGCACCTGCTGGGGTGTGAGTGGTGTCTGGGAAAGATGCATCTACTTCCAGCTATTTCCCTGTCTTCCTGAACAGAGTCCTTTCTGCTCTGAAGTGGTAATGAAGCTTCCTCCTAACTTCCTATATCGTGGTGGAATCAAAATACAAAAGCCCAGCATGTCTTGTTCTGCCTATTTCCGTGCTGAGGACAGTGCTGACTCTAATCTAAGGTGTCTCCCTTTGCATTGTTTGTTTAACTTAGGGGTTATTTGTTTCTCTTTCATGTTCCCTCCCTACCAGAATGTTTGTTTACATTTCGTGACAGGTTTTGCCGTATACCGATGGACTGCCTGTGAGTGAAGACTGTTTCTAAGTGGTTGCATAAAGTTTCATTAGTTCCCTGATTGCTGTCCTCAACTCTCTGGTTTGAAAATGGATCATTACCACCTGAATGATAGCTACAGACTCTGGCTGATGGTCATGGAATACCCATAGCAGTTCAGTTTCCCTGCTAATCATGCAGTGATACAGCTTGATATTTTGCAAACATCCCTCTTGCCCATCATACCATGTGTTTCCCAAATTCAGTGCAGCATCCAGGGCAGAGATAGAGGTATCTCCTCCAGATACTGAGTGGCTGGTGAACGCAGTGTGTGTCGTGAAGTGATTCCCGTTCTCCTTCAAGTGCCATATGTGTGGGAATTTCCCTGCCTCAGTGAATAGAAGGGGTCGTGATGAGAGCCTTTCCCTGTTCTTTGCTGCAGTTTTTCTCCAGACCTCGCCCTGGACTCTCCTGGCACTGACCACTTTGTTATCATTGCCCAGCTGAAGGAGGAGGTGGCTACTTTAAAGAAGATGCTGCACCAGAAAGATCAAATGATTTTGGAGAAAGAGAAGAAGGTACAGTCCTTGGCTTGCCTCCCCCCACAGCATGCATCAGCATCCAGACAGGTCACCCTCAAACAGAGTCTGGCTCTTTATCTTGGGGTGAACAGCAAAGTTTCTGCCTGTTTCCAGGCTGCCTCTTTTCCAAGGTTAGAGAGGCTTTCTGGACCCCTCTCCCCCCAGCAGGGCCTCGCTGCATAAAAGGCTGTTTTCTGACCACTGTCTCTGAGAGCTCCCTATGGGAGTAAGGCCAAGAAAGGCCGTGTCTCTCTGTGCAGTTCTGTGATACCATTTTGGTCCTGTAGCATTCCACCTGCCACCCCAGCACATTTCCATACTCTTCCAGTCTCAGGCAACTTCTGCAGAAGCATTTTCTGTGGCAGGGTGTATCTGGGGTGAAGGAATACATTTCTTCCCACTCACACGCTCCTTGCTGGTTTGCCTGCAGATCACAGAGTTGAAAGCTGACCTGCAATACCAGGAGTCACAGATGAGGGCAAAGATGAACCAAATGGAGAAGACACACAAGGAGGTCATGGAGCAGTTACAGGTGACAGCATTTTTGTTTTAATTTGCTGAGCTGCACTGTACCTAGGAGTGACTGAGGACACTCTTGATCAGAACACCTTGCGAGCTTCTGCACGCGCAGCTCTGCTAATGCTTCTCAGCCCTGTCCTGCAGCCTCTCTGCTCTGCCAGGCCAGCCCCTCCCCAGCTCTGTACTAGGCTGCAGCGCACCTTAACCCGTATTTATAGACTCCTTGCTGCTCCCTACTTGGGCTCAGTCTTCCTGTATTGTATAGTGCTGTGTTGTGTCCACTGCAGACTAGATGGGAACTCTCAAACTCATTGAACTTATTGCCAAAATCGGGTTTGAACCTGTCTATCCAGACTGCAAAACCTTTGTCAGCCCCCTGCACCATGTAGCTCTTAATGTGATTTATGTGGCCAGTAACCAAAGAGAACAAAGCCCAAGAAACAACAGGCAGTTTTTTTTAGAACTGTATCTATGTAGTCCAAATAAAGAAGTCCCTGAGCTTGAGGGAACAGGGAGAGCAGGATTCTTGTCATGGCCATGGAAACACTAGACAGACTATCAGCATGAATACGCTCTGAGCCACTGAAGAGATCGGGTCAAAGGGGAACTGGTTACAGGGAAGAAATCAGACACAGAAACGAACTTTGCACCCTTTAATTACTGTGAGGTTTATAATGATCTAAAGCTCTAGCAATGAGAAATGGGAGGCAATAAGAAAAAAGGCCTGTATTCACACAGAGAAAACAGCCCCTCCTCCATCAGCACACACCCAAGTTAATTATTAGAGCCCAAGGCAGGTTTTGGAGACTATAGGTGCTGTCAGAAAGCTGGTGCCCTTGAGATTCTGTCTACAGCTCACATTTGTAAGCAATTTAAGCCTGTCCCAAGGCTGGAATATCTTTCTGTGGTGTGCAGAGGGCTGGAAACACTTCCTACCCCTTGTAAGCTGTGCGGCACTGGTTTGCATGCAAGGAACTGATGAGAACCAGAGCCTTCTCTCTCTCTCTCTCTCTCTCTCTGTGTTGCCTTCTTGAATCTGCACTGTGTTTCAGCCCAGATGTTTCCCTCTCATAGCTTTGGATGGCCTGCAAAGAATGAGTTGTTCTTACTCCAATTCTGAATAGACAATTATCCATTATCACACACCACCACTATTTGGTTGCCTTTCTTGACAGCCCTGGCCACGAGGTCAAGGGCTAACTGGGACCTGACCTCCCTCCTTGCAGTGGTTCTCCAAGGCAAGGCGCGCTGCTCACTCAGTGTGTGTATGTGGCAGAGGGGGGAACAACATACGCTGGTGCTGCCTTTGCAGTAGCTAAAAGAGGACGTCTGCCTCGAAAGCTGTCGGACACCTTCCAACAGCCTTAATACCTGTTCAATCCTAAAAGGAAAGAGGAAGCATCAAATACATGAATGGGTTTGCCCACAGCCACCTGTCATACCTGGGTGGAGAGGGGTGTGCATGTCTATCGCCCGCTGTGTTGTTTTGTACTTAGCTCGGAATGGGACTGCCCAGAACTTGTTCTCTCTGGTGTCCAAATGTTTTACTTCAGCTGATATTGACTGAGGCTCTGGAAACTTTATTCATTGATTCCAAAATAAAAGTTCAAATCCTCTCAGAGTACCACAGGTGCCTTGAAGTGTTCATATGATTCACTTTTTTAATGTACTGTTGGTTTTATTATTTTGTCTGTCTTTTCATGGGGGGAAGCAGGGATATCTGCAATCTTCCATTCTGCAGGAGGCAAAGGAAACTGCTTTACCACAGGCAGCGCTGGAGCAGAGGGCTGAATTTGTCTAGTAACCCTTAGTCCTTTGAATGTTTGTTCATTCATTGCAAACCAATGCAGAACAGCTGTATCTGGCTTCACATGGGTTCTACCCCTTATCCTACTGGTATAGAGTAAATTGCTAAGTAGGCTAAAGGGTTTTTCAGTTTAAGGAGAGTGACCTCAGAGGTTTGATAAAAGGGCCTGGAGAGCCTTCGTTTCTAAGTTAATTCAGTCCAAACCAGAGAGACTGCAAGTTGTTACCTGTTGGTGCTCCGGTGGGTTCAGAAGGCTTCTAGGGATGCAGAATTAGTGACTATAGTACTGAATCCGGGTGAAACTGTTGGCAGTGTCTGAAGAAACCAAGAGTTAAACAAAGCTGGAGAACAGTTTCAACTGCTCCACCCTGGATTTGGGACATGAGTGAGGATTTGGGGTGGGGGAAATTTGCCTTCTACCTCCTAAACAAGAGTCAGGATGGGGGCTTGAGTCACTCGAATTTTATTCCACCACTTCTTACCCTGTCAAAATATGGTGGCTGGTGAAAGAGGAAGAGAAGGAAGAAAAGCCAGTCCTGGTGATGCTGACGAGTGTCTTTTTCAGGTTTAATGAGAATTGTGCCTTTGTGGCATTTCACAACGGAAGCTGTTAGCCTTTAGCCTACTTCTAAGTTACAGCAGCAGGCGATGCATTGGGGAAGGGATGGAAAGAGTCCTTTCTAGGTGGTAGAGATGAGATGCTGGACTCGAGCTCGTGCTGTGGTGCAGTACAGCAATATCTACCTCTTTCATCTGCACGCAGGATGCCAGCAGTGTGTGTCCAGGCAGTTCTAGGATCCCAAGAGCTAATGATGATCCATGCCATTAAAATACCCATTTTCACTGTGTTTCCAGGCCAAGAACAGAGAACTCCTGAAGCAAGCAGCTGCCCTATCCAAGGGCAAAAAGCCTGAGAAGTCGGGAGCAATAACCTCCCCTTAAAAACAAAACCAAGCCCCCAGTCTGGGAGCTTTCCCCAGCATTAGCCAAGGAGTCTAGGAGGCCTGCCTGATCGCTGGAAGCCAAAACCTCACTTTTGTCACTATCCCATTGCTGTGGACTCGATGGAAACGCCTGGTGTGTGTTGCCTTTCGACAGCATGCTTGAGTGTGTCTGGTTTCAATACCTGTTGAATACCGTTCTGTGCTATGGTGATCCATGGGGAGAGGTCCCAGCCATCCTAAATCCCCCCAAGTTTCTGGAAGAAGTGTTTTCCTAACCAGTTAGTACCACTGCCAACCCTTTATATAGCAAACAGGAACCTGCTGCATTAGAGACTTCTTGCTGGTTTCAAACCTGCTGCTCTGAGGCAATAGCCGTGGCCAGTTGTTGTGCAGATAAGGCGGCAGCTGTGCATGGTGGCAGCTTTGTTTTTTGAACTGTTCCCTCTTCAAAAGGAAGCTGATAATCACCAGCCCAACAGATGTAACCAGAAGGTTGTGTCGCTGCTGAGAACCCATCTTTTTGAAGATGCTTCCAAAATGGGGGCTATATATTTATTTTGGAGGATTTTTGTTTTGTTTTGTATTTTTCTATGTCAGCTTGGCAACCCTGACTGCCTGGTTTTATGTTTTTGTTTTGTTATGATAGCTTTTGGTTTGGGAGCCAGAGCATAATGATACAGACCCACCTGGTACCCCTTGGTGCCCTGGTTACTTAGTGGCCTTTGGGCTTCGGTGACTTTTGCAGCTTGGTGTGACTGAGCTTCTCTTACTCCCCTTTCTTCACATGAGGCTGAAGGAGAGTTCAAGGCTTGGATATTTCCTCTGCTCTCTGCAGTCCCTGGATCAAGTTCACTTTCTTCTCCCCCTTTCCCTGCCCCGTTGCTCCTTTCCAGATGCAGAAGTAGGGGCCAGGTTGGCTCCAGGAAAGTGCTTACTCAGGCAGTGACCCAAGCCAGGAAGTGTTTCTTGGGGCTCTCCAGAGACACTTCTCTCTGCTGATTAAAAGCCAACAGGATAAAAGGGCTATGAAAGTTCTCCGTAGCAAGGATGTGCTTCTCAGAAACAGTGCGAGTGCCGTGGCAAAGAGACCGCAAACAGCGCCAGCAAGGCGCTGGGAGGTGTGCTCCCCAAGCTCTGTCTGCAGTGCATCTCTTGGGGGAGATAAAAAGCACTTGGCCGTTAGGGGGGAAAGCACAGAACAGCTCTTGAGCTGGCAAGAACACTCCTTGGTATCCTAGCACCGAGCTCTTCAGGGTGTGAAGAGACATCTCAGGGTTTGGAGACCTTCGGGGCAGAGGAGTAAAGGATGCACACTTAGTCTGGAGTGGCACTGAAGGTATGCGGTGAAGAGGAGAAATTGCCCTTTTGAGACAGGGCTGGCTGCTCTGTCAGGGTTTTTATTAAGCTTTTAACTAGAGATTATGATTTCTTTTTCCTTTTTTATGTTACTAAAGATGACTTTACTCAAAGGCACTTTTTTTGATGATGTTGGCTTCCGGCATGGAAGGAGCACGCTGCAGCATCAGACACTCTGCCACGTTTTTTGTTGTTATTGTTGTTCGTTTTTGTTTTTTAAGAGACTTCTGACGTGAAAAGGAAAAAAAAAAAAAAAAGTTGTTACACTTTGCCAGAGTGTGACAGCAGGAAAATACTCACCTAATTTTATACTTCACATGTTTTTAGAAAATGAGGTGATTGATGGGATTTTTTTTAAATGGGCGCTTTGCTTTTTTGTTTCCCTCAAGACACAGAAATAGAGGGAGAAAGGCCCTGTATATACTATTATGTTTTTTTTTTAATTGTGACAAATTGATCATGCAGTTGAGTAGCTGATGGTTTGTAGTAATAACATTGTTTCTTTGTATGTTTGTAATAATGGAGATTTTAAAGGGATGCTTTGATTTGTACAAAACTCTGACAAATGTAAAAGTGTTTTAAAAAATCCTCATCTGTGTGTCTGATACTTTCTATTTGCCTTAAAGAAAAAAAAATTACATCCTTCCCTGCCTGGAACTGATTTGTCTCCTGCTGGTGACTGCCTGGTCAGAGTAGCAGTCATGCCGCTTTGGTATTTGCTGTGTATGGGAATGAGATGGCATTTTCTATTGTTTGGTTCGCTCCTACTTTTGTTTCTGTCTTTAAATCCTCCCAATCAAGACTGTTGCTAGGATCCTTGTTACTTGGTTACATCGAGCTTCCCAGGACTGATCTGGCTGTACCAGATGAGATCTCTGTATTTTCTTCCCCAAACACATGAATGAAGATAGAGCACAGAAACAATACAGTCTTGATAGGAAACAAAAAGACAAGAGGATAAGGGTCTTGCCTTCTTTTAAGATATGGGTCTTGCCTTCTTTTAAGATATAAATGCAAACTGGGTGAGTAAACACCTTTTGTGTCTCTGTGTCTTCCTCCTAGCTCAGCCAAGACTGGAGTCGTTTGGAGGGAAAAACAGATTTTTTTTGGAAGCTTCTAATTTTCCAGCAGAAATTTGGTGGCCCAAAACTCTCCTGATACTTCCATCTGAACGTGCTCCTTGGCCCTTGTGGGAGCTGTAGGTCAACGTGTTGTGGCTTTGCTTCTCATCTGTCATTGCAGCTTCCTAGTGAGGCGACCAGTTCTCTGATGCACCTTGCTTTCCTCTGGCGGGGCAGATGTGCTGTGTCCCTGAACCTGTCTGTCCTCAGGGCACTGCCTGTAGTGGAGAACGAGGAACTGCAAACCGTAGCTCTGAAGAAACACCTCAGCAGCTTTTCCAACTCAAAATATTCTCTCTTTTATGTTTTTCAAAATCTAGAGCTGTACGCGGAGAACAGCCATTGTTTGGGAAAGCATTAATTGTGACAAATGCCCAAATTTGTAGTTAAACACCGAGAAGAAAAATAGTTTCTAGGGAATCTTTTTCATCAGTCTTATTCTTCTGATCTCTTTGGCTTCTAATGCCTGTGAAAAGAGACTGATTTGTGTGCATTGAGACATATTTGAAAGGAAAGAGATGGTGTATTTCAGATGGCTGTTGCCTCCTCTAACTTGCCCCCCTTAGGAACTGTATTACAGTAGCTCACAGAGGGTAGCAGTCTGTCCTAAGTCCACTGGCTACAGCCTTACAACCCCAGTGGAAGGAACAGTTGTATATTTTTCTTCATAGCCTCTTCCAGGTGAGTCATCCATTTTTTTAGCAGCCATTAGTGCTACTTTCAGGGAAGGAGAAAGGACAGGATGTAAGTTTTCTTCCCCTTTCTTTTGAGCTCTGAGTTACTACTTCTGATGTGGTTGTTTTCCACCTGTAAATGGTCAGAGTTTTCGTCCTGGATTTGTTGGACCTCTGGCTCCCTGAAGTAGCCACAAGCCGTGTCGAGGGAGGGATGTCCTGCTTGAAGCATTTAGGTTATTGCCACCTTGCTGAGTTATTGTGGCTCAGCTGACTCAGGGTAACTTGTTGTAGGAATTTACGAACGGCTGTGCTAGGTCAGACCATAAATCTAGACGAGTACCCTCTCTCGCCAGGTAAAGGCCACGGAGGGGATCCTGGGGAAGAGGGTACAAAACCAGATCATGAACAAAGCAATAGTTTGTTGGCTTCTAGCACCCAGTGGCTTAGGGGCTTCCTGAGGTGAGCGTTGCACCTGTGGCCTTTAGTAGCTCCTGGTACTTTCCTCTTAGGTCCGTTTTTAGCCAAAGGTGGCTAAATCGCAAGCTCTTAGCCTGCCACAGTTGCCAAGTCAAATGCTCTCCTGGCGCAAGAAGGCAACGCGTGCAGAGACAATCTGCTTGGCAGCGCTTTCTCTGGTTAGCGCTACGTAACTGTGCCAGTGGTGCTTAACATTTATATGGCGCTTAATCTCTGCTGATCGCAGCGCAAACCTTGCTGTATCCTTGAAAGTGCCCAATTATCCTCATTTACAGCAGGTAGGAAGATAGATAAGAGAACTGCTTTGCCGAAGGCTAGGCTACAAGTCAGTGGGTAGAGCTGGAACCAGAGTGTAATTTCCTCAGTTCCTCAAGCCCTTGCTCTCCACCTTCGGTATTGTGTCTCGGAGGGGCCACTTTGTCTCTGCCCTGACAGAGCTGCAGGGAGAATTTCAAATGGGTTGTGGGCAATTTTTGCAATTCCCAGCCAGACCTTGAGTAAGAATTGATTGGCTCCTGCCTTTATCTGCTAGTGCACACTTCCTTCTCTCTGTGGTTTATTCAGTGGTCCTAAAGCAGCCTGCATGTTTGCAAAAGGGATTTTTTTTTTATTTTGGGTTGTGATTACTCTATTTCAAAGCTTTCGGAAAATATCCTCTGCTGGTTTTGACGGTAGCTGAATGCGCTTGAAAAGAATCTTATATACTGATCTCAGCTGCCTCCTCGTAATGACATCAGGGTTGAAAATTAGACTTCCAGTTTTTGGGCCCCATTCCACTAGTTTAGGTGAGCTGACACTCAGCTAGCCCTCGCCGTCTTCCAGCGTCAAGAGGCTGCAACTTCAGAAATGTTAACCTAGGTAGTTCGAGTTGGTTGGGTTTTCAGGACACAATGAAAATGTATTGCAAAGCAATTTTTGACCTCTACTAACCAAGAGGATTCAACTTTTTTTTTTTTTTTAAGTAATTACTTGAATAAATGTCTCCTTTCCAAAGCTGTAGGCCCCCTGGCAAGGATCTGGAACTTTAATAGGCGAATGAATAAACTGCTTTGCAGCCTAACAGCGTGTACCCGCAGCAGAAGTAAACTGCCTTAACCAGCTGGTAATTACAGAGAAACATGCTCCCTTCCATTCCTTTCCCTAATTGCTGGGGCTGTCTGGGAGCGCTGGCTCACATAGCATGCCCTGGAGGGCGACAGGTTTGTGCTGCATTGTCTTTAAAAAAAAAAAAACAAAACAAACACCTAAGGGTCTTAAAATCCTTTAAAGCTTCAGCAACTTATGTTTTGTAACTGATCCAGGAGAGGTGAGCGCAAGCCTCATTCTCGAGATGAGGAAAGAAGGGGCAGAAAGGTGAAGCGAAACAAGCTGTCTGAGAGACGAGGCTTCTTGCAAAGTCAGCGGAGAGGGCAGTGGGTGCTTCGGAGGCGGGCGATGCAGAGCACCGCAGAGAGCAAATGGGGCTTTAGGGGTGGGAATATTCAGCATTACCTACTACTCTCTCTTATCTGCTAGGAGGATAAAATTGGAATGGAAAATTAGACCAGCTCCTTTGGGTTGGTGCTTTCCCTCTTCCACAAGAGAGGTTTCCCACAAAGAAAGCTCGGCTACCCTTTGCCTCCTTCCAAAGGGAATCTCGAAAGGTCCGGGAGTCCAAAGGCGTTGGGGCTGTTACCCCAGTCCTTACCAGTGTACGACCACACAGTACTCAGTGCTCCCTCCTGAGGCGCATGGAAACGCTCCCTCCTGCAGGTTGCTAAAGCTCCAAAACAGCTTGGACCAGTACAAGCCACTGTTTCTGATGTGTTTACGCTCCTGAAGCTCTATCCCTCTATTTGCAGCGCAGGATCCTTAACAGAGAGAAGACCCGGGGGCAGGTGGAGCTGGGTATTTGCCGTTCGCCTTGGTTTCAGGTGGCGCTGCGACGCTTCCGACCGCGTTGCAGGGTTAGCTTCACCCTCTGCGGGTTCAAATGATGCAACCGCTGTCAGGCTCTGATGTCCTGCTGCGGAGGAATTTCCCTCTTCTCCACCCTGCAAACGGATTAGGCTTCCCTATCACATCCCACCAAGCCCGAATGCCTGTAGTTTTTCCGGCAGGAGGCTGTAACGGGGGGAGGCACAGAGTAACCAGCCTGTGCTGGCAAACCAGCTTGCCGCTCGTTTGATAGGAGCAAAGCGCATAGGAAAAGGAAATGCTTAAATAACTGTGTGTGACTTACCTACTGCAGATCCTCCCCCCCGGCTCCCTGCAGAGAGGAGAGTCCCCGTGCGGTCTCTGCTGCCTCCCTTTGTCCTTGGGGTTTTTTGCCTGGCTGGAAACACCAGGCCGGCGAAAGCCAAGCAAGGCAACGGCTGTCCCTGGATGACCTCACTATTTGCTAAAAGGTGACTTATCTTAAGCAATCTGTCTTGCCTTCCCGTTCAGCTTTCTTAACAGCACTCTGTTGAACTAAATCAACAGATTGTACAGTCAGCATCTAGCTAACTAGGGCGCTCGCAGTGCCTAAATAATTACAGAGCTGTTGTGTGTTCCCCATGCTTGGTGCTTCTGCAAACAGGGCGTTTGGCTTCGGCTCTCGAAGCCTCTAGAAAAGTTTGCCTCTGCTTTGTCGCCCTCCTCTCAACGAATGTTGTAACGATCCTCGTTGCGCAAGCTGTGCTGCTGTGTGGCGGGGAAACCCTCGTGAAGTAGCCAGCGCAGAGAAACCCTTATGCAGTCGGATTTCCCTGAAGAACGAGCGCTGCTGAATTCAAATTGCCACAGAAGCAAAAGGTGAGACCTCAAGCGCTCTTTGATGGGGCTTGTGGGACAGAAGGCCGAGCAGAGGGCTGCCAAGCAGGACCTGAGATGCTGCCGCTTGCTCTGGGACTGCCTGGTGCCACCGGTTTTGCTTCGGTAGCTCTACCCCCTGCTAGGCTGGGGGCCAGTTCCCTGCTTGGCACCAAACTGGTTCATCCTAGAGAGGCTCTCAAGTCACAAGGGCAGACGTGAAGCTCTCCTGGTGCCGGGGCTGGCGCGCGGTGCCTTCCCCACCCAAACCTCCCGGGAGGGCCGAGGCCGGCAGGACGCCGGTCCT